AATATTCGATTCAACCAAAAGTGATAAACTGTGGTTCAGAATGAGGATGTATTGGAGTAAGTGTTCTATTTGTTGCACTGTACCTTTCCTCGCTGCGTAGGCGTTCTTCAAGCTCCTGGATCTTGTTCTCCAGCTGAGAGACTCCGGCTGAGGAGCGAGACTGGCCCTCCATGTCAACAACACGACTCCTCAGCTCCTTCAGCTGCCGGCACAAACACACAAACACACATGGAGAGTCAGGTGAAAGCTGCTGATCACAAATGTCAGCAAAGACAGGTGTGCTGTATGTGCACATACATGTCTCTCCATGGTGTTCTTGTCCAGCTCCAGGTCCTGTTTGGAAGACCTCTCCTGCATGAGCTCAGAGCGGAGCTGATCGATCAGGTCCCTGCTCCTCGTCACCCGCTCCGTCAGCATCTCCGCGCTGCTTCTCTCCTCCTCCAGCTCCAACTCCATACGCTTCAGCTTGTCCTGATAGAGCCCAGACAAGATCTGCTTCGTTAAGTGCTCAGAAATCGTGCACTGGATTTAGCTCAAGTGAGAGATTAGCTAGTGTCAAGTATAGATGGATCTGTTCCATTACGTCCAGTTTTGATACAGAGTTTGTTGGAGCACGTGTGCAGTGCAAAGTTATCACTTGAATCTAAAACCCTGTGTGTTTAATTTATGGCTGGAGGTAAGATATTTTCATACATGTACAGACCGTCCTACTAACAATGTATGCAAGGCTGGTATCTGCGTTGTCATTGTTAATTTTCCCGAATGGTTTATTCCCCATAACCGGGAGGTAGGCACATGCTCATATCGTACCTCCAGGATCCGGATCTCCCGGGTTTTCTCGTTGTGGTTGTTTTTGCTGGCCTCCATCTCTCCCTCAAGGTGGCGCAGTCTGTTGGTGAGAAGCTCTTTATCCAGCTGGTGGTTGTCTCTCTCCTCACACACAAGCAGGATCTCCTTCTTCTGTCGTGACATCTAGTAAAGTTTATCGTATAATTAGAAATGCTCTCTGTCAAACTGAATGTTCATCAGAAGAAAATTATATTATAGTATTATATTATATAATCAACTTTGCATGAATACAATCAGTGAAGCATGCACAATGAATATTATGTCTAAACATATTAAGACATGATTTTCATAATGAAAACCAAATAAGAGGGGAATCATGCACACAAACACTTAAAACAAACATCAAAACACAAACACACACTTCTTCCTCCAGTCTCTTTAGATTTGTGTGGCTTCTTTCGAGCTCAGTCTGAGCGTCGTTTCCATGACGCTGCACCTCGTGCATTTCCTTGCGTGCTCTGTCTCTCTGCTCCTCCAGCTGAACCCTGAGAGCCTGTGCCTCCTCTCTTGAGGACATGGTCAGAGACTCGTGCTGACAGAGTCACAGAGAGGGGACAAAATGAAAAACACAGGGGACAAATATTTTGTGCTGTGTGTGTGTCCTCAATTGAGCAGCTGGATGCTGCGGGCTACACAGGCCTTTCTTACCTCTTTGTTGAGTTTCTCCAGAACTCTATCATGCTGCCGTTTGGATTCTTCCAGCTGGTTGACGCTCTGTCTGAGTGTCTCCTTTTCTTTCTCTGTATCCTCCAGGCGCAGGCTAAGTTCACGGTGCTCCTGGCTCAGTCTGGAGGCTTTTCTCTTGGCCTCATCTAGCTCAGTTCTCAGGCTTCTCACCTCAGAGTGGAGGGTGAGCTCTGCCTCTGAGCTCTCTGTGGCGCTGGTCTGCAGCTGAGCCTGAGGACACCACAGAGGATGTGCAATTATGCTTTGATGCATCTACTTCTTGCAGGGTCATCTAACACGCTGAGCTGAACAGTGTTGTGTGGGAGGATGTAATGTTACCTCTAATCGTGAGAGTTTCTCTTTGAGACGTGCGTTGGCGTCTTTCTGCTCCTGCTGGGAATCTTGAAGCGACTTAAGGTCCATCTGAGCTCTACTGATTTGTGTTTTTCTGCTTTCCACTTCCTCTTCAGCCAATGAGAGTTTTTCTTTGAGCTGGTTAGCTTCCACACCTGCCTCCACTAACTTCTGCTCAAGCTCTGAGATGGTGGCTGGGTCTGGGAGCTGTAGGCAGGAGGAAAAGGATTTAGACAAAAAAATTCAAGAGATGATTCTAACCACCTAGTAAGGCAAGTCCATCTGCCACATACATGTTACCACACAAAACTTCACACAGATCCTAAATGATCTCTTTGTTCCCTGTGAGTTTAAACTAACCCGCTTATTTTTCTCCTGTGCCTTGGCAAAGTCATCTTTAGCCCTCTGCAATTGGCCCTTGAGCCGGTCAATCTCATACTTCATCTCTGCCTCTTGGTTCTGGTGAGATTTCTTTATGGAGATCACCTCCATAACCTTCCTGTCAAAGTCCGTCCTGTGTTTCTCCACCTCAGTCTTTGCCTTCTGCAGATCAGCATTACATTGCTGGAGCTCCTAGACAGAAGTATGAAGAATTTGATGTTGAATTTTTTTGTTATTAAACTGTGCATCAGTGATGGTTTAAAGCTGTGAAAGTGTTTACTGCACCTGGTTTAGAGTGTGGGTGTGCGTGGGGTCTGGTATCTGTTGTTTCATGGTGCTCACTTTCTCCTGGAGCTCCTTCAGTTCCTCCTCAAACTCTTCTTTTTCCAGACGAGATTGCAGGAGTCTGAAAAATGTGAACATACCAGTGGTGTAAGCCAACTGCACCAATATAGTGTTGCTGCTTAATTAGCTGATCAGTAGCTGTTGGGTTGTTCAGGTGAATCATGACAGAAGAGGTTTATTTTCATGTGGTCAATGAGCAAATAAATCATTATTTAATTGTCAAAAACAGGACATACATCAGCCTTCCCTGTCACTACAAAGTCTACAGCACATTTTTTATCTAAACACTCAGGTATAGACCATCCACACCTCACTCTGTATCTGTACAATGAAGAAAATCTAATTTAAAAATGTTGTGTGTGGCTACTAAGCATCATTTCTGCTCCGCCATAGAACTAAATATGGTCCATATTCCCATTAGGACTCATGCTGTCAGGTGTTCATGGCCCATAATTGAGCTTGGATCACGTGTGGATGGCCTTGAAACTACAGGGATTCAGTTTTTAGTACAATTAGCCACATCTACAGCTATCTAGACACAAATGTGGATCGATTAGTGACTCTCACTGTGCTCCAGGAGTGCTGGGTGGCTCTCTGACAGAGAGGGAGAAACATTGACCAAGTAGAATGAAAGAAGAGAGGAGATGGACACACATTAGTAGCACAGCAGATGCAAAAATGAAAAGATGGAAAAATCCATTTCAACGTAAACAGAGGAAACCCAGGAAAGTACAGATGAATACACTTTGTGGTTCATTTGATGTATTTAAATGTCTTTAGACTCACTCTTGTTTAGTTGTTCGAAGTTCATCTCTGGTGGAGTGAAACTGCTCCATCCAGTGGCCGCTCTCGTCTCGACAGTCCTCCAACTGCTGCTGTAGAGAGCGAACTGATGCATTTACACGCAAACGCTCAGATTCGATTCCTGCATGAGACTGAAACAGGAGAAAGAAGAGTTGAGAGCATATTGTAATGTATCATTTCAGAAATAGACATCAGAAGTTTTTCTGTGTTAACTCTGCGTATTTTATTTTTCGCCATTAATTTTCAGCAGGCAGGCCGACCTCTCCATAACACCAGCACTCACTGTTAATGGTGCCTATAATCCGTGGTGGGCATGAGAGAGTGCTTGGACTGGGCTCACCTGCCACAGTTAGCGAGGGAGGCATTGACCACTTTTAAAAATTATTATCAAAGGAAGGGCGAAATGCACACTTTAGCTCAGGGGGTCTGTTGTGTTTGAAGGCATTTCTCTATCAAATATAAATGATGTGAGTTTGTAAGTGTTTGTGTACACACCTGAGACACCTGCTCCATGCTGCTGCGAAGCTTCTCCATGTCCGCACTGTACTGCTCTCGGAGGGCCTCTATCTCTTTGTCATGTGTGGCCACCTCTTCCTTTAGCGCTCCTTTCAGAGCTGTGAGCTCCCTCTCTCTCTGTCTCAGTGTCTCCTCCAGCTTGTGTTTCAGCTGGCAGACATCCATCAGCTGTGCCTGACAAGACATCAGGTCCTGCAGACACAGGGAACATACAGTATAAACTTGATACGCTTGACCAGTCAGCATACTATTTATTTATTATTTATCTATTTATTAATTGCTTTCTCAGCTTTTCAAAATAGATATTTGTTTTTTAATACAGTGGTGGTGATTTGTCCCTGTATCAGTGTTTCATTGGTACCGTCTTGTTGCTGTTATCTCTTCTCAGTTCGTCCTGAAGCTCAGCCAGCTGGTCCTCCATCTCTCTGACTCGAGCCTCTGCATTCTCCCTATCCATCCTGAGCTGAGTCAGCCTGCACGACAAAGAGCATAAACATTAGTTCTTTGAATTCAAATGACAGTACAATACTTGTTTGGCCGAATGAATGAGAAACAGTAACGTCTTGTTCTTGGAATTGTGAGAAGTGTGTGCGTGAAAACAAAGTGGGGTCATTATTACCCCTCTTACTCCTGACAACAATTACTGGTACCATTTCCATTCATGCTTTCTTCTGTGTGTATTTGAGTGTGCAAGTGTTGTAATGCCCTCACTCTGATTGTGTTTCATTTAGTTCTGTCTTCTTTCGGTCCAGCATCTCCTGCAGCTGCAAGTTTTCATCCAGACAGGACTCCAGCTCAGCTTTCAGAGCAGGATCAGAGTCCTACACACAAGCAGACATGCTGAATAAATGAGAGCAGTGAAACATGAGACATCAGGTAGCTCTGGTGGCATAAACAATGGGCTTTTAGGAAATGCTAAAGTGGGCCTGCATTTGCCAGCCGATCAATAGGAATAAAGGATTAAGTTCTTAGGGGCTATTAGAGATTAAGACCTGCCCAACGTCCTTAAACTCACATTTGATGCGTCATTACTGAGGTTAGATTCTTCTGTGTGCGCACCTCTGACCAGGCTGGAGGGCTTTAGGGATTAATCAGAGGATTAATCTGAAGCACACTCCAAGGAACCCCCCGGCCTCCTGGTTAGATAAGTCCAAATGACAAAAAAAGCTCTAAGGACAGTTTCCCACTTCCAACCAACTGCCAACTGTTCCCTTCACTTGACAGTAGGTACTCTCATTTTAAGGAGCATGTATGTGTTACATTGGAGGTGCCCTTTGTAATTAGAGCTGAGTTAAAGTGGCAGGTTCCCCTCTGAATGAAAGCATCCGTGGTGGCAGCCAGTTGCAATCAGCTGGCTGAATTTAGACTTGGTGGGTGAACCAAAACTATAGTAACAACCCCAAACTCAAGCATGCATTCTATACCTGCCCTCTCTGTTATGATGGGTTTGATGATGGGCTAAAATGACATAGCCCCAACTAATATGGGTTTTGAAGCAACAGCAGGAAAAAGAAAAGAAGTCACAATCTCTATACCCTCACGTCTTTATTCTTATTTTACTTACCCTCTTTACCTCCTGCAGGGCAGTTTGTAGATCAACAGTCTTTCTCTCAAGCTCCTTCTTTTCTCGCATCCACTCTTCCCTCTGGGATTCGTTAGACTGAAGAAAAAGTTGTAAACTAAAATTCTGTACAGTAACTGTTTGCATTATTTCTTTATGAAGAAATTCAAGAACAAACCTTCCCTAGAATAAGATATTTTCCAAAGGGACAAACCTTTATATTCTGAATCTTCTGAGCAATGAGCTTGACTTTGTGCCTGATCACAACATCACTCTCTTTAGTTCTAAGGGAAGGGAAAAAGGCAAAAGATAACAGCTTAACATTAATGCTATATATGAGTATTTTATTGTGACATTCAATTTTAAAAAGGTGCTATTCCAGTAACAGGAAGATGATGATGACATGGAGGACCATACCCTTGTCTTAGGATGTTGTATATGGTCTGCATCACCTGCTCCTCCTCACGGCTCATCTCTGCACTCTGACCCTGGTCCAGCAAAAGGTCAGGTGTCACCTTAAGACATAGATCAGAAAACTGCTCTTGCAATGTTGCATGTTCTGCAGTGTTTGGAGTGCACTGAGTATAAGATTTTGTGGCCAGGCAGAAAACACAGAATTCCTACCTGTGTCTCAGTGAGGCTGGCCTGCGGTGTTGCAACAGCGACTTCTCTCCCTGGTGAAGGCCACTGATTTGCAGAGTGTCCAGGAAAACTGGTGACAGCGTGCTGGCTGCGTCCCAAGCTGCTGTGAGTGGAGGACGGTGGTGAGGTGTAGGGGTAGGGGCTGAGAAGAGGTGATGTGGCCCTAGGATCTTGTTGTGGAGGAAGGAGGCCTCTCTGCTGGTCCCCTCTGTTAACGCCATCAAACCTGTTTACTGGTCTGTTTACAGCAGTTTGTCTCTGATTAGACTGAAAATCATTTGTTTGATGAGGAGGGTCGGGGTAGGTCTGACTGCCCCTCACTGACCCTAAAGACCCGTTGAGTCCTGTCTGATAAGAACCACCCCATTTATTCCTTTCCATGGCCCCACCTCTACCACTGATATGCCGAGGCTGCTCTCTCTCTCCTCTTACTCCTAAACCTCCATCCAGGTTCCCATAACTACCAGACTTCCCATCCCCTGGTGGCCTCGACATCTGGAAATCCTCAATGCCCGCCCCTCCCTCTCCATCCCTGTCCAACAGTGACCCATGGGACTGGGCCCTGCGTAGTGCCCCTCCTTGCCCTTCTCCGCTTCCTCCTCCTACATATGCCCCCTGTGTTCCCGGCTCAGCTTTCTCTCTCCGCCTTGGAAGGCTACTGTAGCCAGGTGGAGGCTGGGTCTTGAGCTGGACCCCATATGAGTCTCCTTTCTCTCCATCCTTCAGGACCACATACGGCTGCCCAGCGATACCCTGCACCCTGACTGCCACACCGTATTTGGAGGAGGACTGAGTCTTGGTCTTGGGCTGGGGCCCAGGCTGTCCGCCGCCGGCGTCACAGAGGTCATTGATGAAGCGGATCTGCACGCCATAGTCAACAGGGGTCTTCCGTCCAGAGGATGGTGTGCTCATGCTGGTGACAGAGATCAGATCAGACTGAATAGTAGAGAAAGGAAGCAAAGACAGGAAAAGAGCCCATGCTGCGTCAAAATAAAAAACACTTTGTCTTGTTACGTTACATTTCATTAATTTTACATTCACATTAGCTATCTAATCAAAATTAAGACATTTATAAAAACAGGCTGTGCTAAGACTTTAAAACAGGTCACATTTACCCCAAAACAACAATAAGACATTTTTGAATTCATGGTTTAGCTGCACCTCCCACAAGAAAATGACAGACACTGAAAAAGTCAAATTAGTTCTAAACCGATAAATCAGTAAAGTCAATAGACCTGTTGATATTAGCTTATAGTGCAGATACATTGGTACTTGGGTACATGTCGATAACAAGAATGTCCTGAATAGAAACTGTGTTTGAGGGAATTTAGAAAGACATAGACAGTTATTTCTACCAAACAGCACTAGTACTTTTATTTGTTCCCATTAAAATTCCGGCTTTATGTTTATCTTGGTCACCTGTATCAAGTTTGTTTGTTCATGTTATGTGATAATTACTATTGTTACTGAATTTTTTTGGTTTGAACGAATACAGCAACACTGACTCATAAGTAGTTAGACTCGGTTTCTGTCTCTCAACTGCGTTTGTGGACTTTGTCCTTGATGCACTCCATTAGTCATTAACCTGAGAGCACACACCCACATATCACTCTCTACTTGTTAGGAGCAACTAAGCCTTTCCCAACTTTTGGAAACCTCCCAGGCCGATACCAGACAACAATCCCTCAAACAAACTTTGACAGCTTGAATACAAATACTTATGTACTACAGCAACTATTCTTTTTATTCTTTCACTCTGTACTTTCACTACTTTTTAGTTTTTCTGTATTTCCTAATCCTCCCTCCCTTTATTTGATAACACCTGACGAGTAAATCTAAAACTCTTCCACAGCTCCCATACTTCACCGCAAACCAGATTTGACACTGACAGTTCTTTAAAGTACCTAACATTCCTGATATCACATCGACTGACTAATCAAGCCTTGTGTTATGATCCCATCCCCAGTGACGTTAAAACTGTATGGTTCATTACACCCATTTGAAACCTATTACAACACTCCGTCCTGACCTCTCCGCCCTGCTCCTTTCACTTCCTCCTCACAGCTTTCCAAGGTGAGACTGAGAGAGAGTGGGTGGGGAGCCAGAAAGGGAGGGTAATGTGAGAGAGCGAAAAAGAAACAGCCAGCTTTTCTTCTCCTTATCAGTGCCTTGTGTGATAAAATCCAAAGTCAAGCTGTTCCCGTGAACAACCCTCCCCCACATACACAGAAAGTAACCATCAAGAGCATAAGCTGTATAACACAAAACAGCAAAGTCATTCTGAGAGATAGCTAAATGCTGTACAGAAGAGAATAATGAAGCAACTTTAGAGGAAGAACAGGTGAAGGTAAATGTCTGAGCTGCCAGTGAACAAAGCAACGTCATGTGTAATGACCTTTAAATATGATCTGTGCTTGTGGTGCATAAGCTTTGACCGCAGACACAGGAAATAGGAAAAAAATAAATATAAACCTATCTGTGCGTGTCTTCCGATGAGCACAGTTAGGTTGCTCATCGGAAGACATGCACAGTTAGGTTGATTTTTTTTTTTCCCCTCTTCCCTTTGGGAACCACAGAGGAAACACCATGTCATGGCACATTTGTGAATTCGAGCATGAAGTCTGCAGACCATTGCATTTACTCCAAGGTCAAGCCAACGTGTCATGCACCGACAATCTCGGGACGGACACCACATGAGGAATGCAGAAAACAACGTCTATTGATTTAATGTGAAATGCTCATGTGATTAGTGCTGAGAGTCTGAGCAATCAGTGAGTCTGATTAACTTACATTTCAGAAAGGCAACTGTTAGGGAGAATAAAACCCTCTTTTCATACTTGTTCATCTCCATCAGATTATTTTTTGTGTCACAGAAGACCAACACATTACCAACTCCAGGAGGGGTTGTGTTGAGGGGGCAAACGCATCCTATTGTCCAGCTGATGTGGGGCGGAAAACGAGGGCAGCCATTCTGAGAATGCCAAAACTTTCCCTGCCCTCATTCATTCACTCTCTCACACTGACCTTGATTAAAACTAGTTTGCTTCAACAATGACATTTTCATCTCCATCACCCTCCCTTTTCCCCCAAAGCTTATTTCTCCCCAAACCTCTCTTAAAATACAGAAAGTAGGATTTTAATAGTCATCTGTTATCTTCCATTTTGTTATACACTTCCTTAAATGTTAATTAAAAATGTTAAAATGATAGTTTCTTTATTTAAAAGAAAAATTTAAGAAATGAAACTCAGTTGATTTGTGTCTGAAAGAGTTCATCAATTTGTCAGATAATTAATCAGCAATAGTTTGAAACTGCTAAATGCTTGAAATAAATGTCAAGCACAAATACAAAATATTCTGACACACGTTCACAGGCTTGTTTTCCAAGCTTACAGTGCTGTTTTCAGATGCTTCTACCACTTGTGTTACGTTGATGGACTGTCCGCCTCTGGCCTTAAATTGAATTCCTGCGCAGTAAATTGAATTGGAGCTACTTTCCTGGTCGGATTCAGAGATGGAATGGGAAATATAATTAGGAGATTAGCAGGTGTGGAGAGAAATGACACAACAGCAAAGTGTGCAGAGTCATGAAAATGCCTCTGCTGACTTATAGAGTCATTGTACGTGTTCATGAGAGCCCTCCACTTCTGGCCTGACCCAAAATGGATACAGATACAGATAGTAGCAAAGACTGAGGGTTATCCGTCTCTTTCAAAAAGTAAGTGGGGATAAAAAAATGCATGTTTAATAATGTATAATATCCTGATGTGTGGATATCCTGAAGGCTGAATTTAAATGTATGTTATTGTCTTTTAGTCTGTGAAATGTAAGAAAATAGTGAACATTTTTTACTACAGCTTCCTAAGCTGATATCTTGCATCTAAGATTTTGTGTTGGTGCTTGAAAACAATTGTAGTTTTTATGTCAAATTATTGTTTACAAGGTCAACAGTAAACTTCCATGATCAAGTTTACAACACAGAGATAAACAGCCAATACTAACTGCCAATTGATTTCAATCACGATGCGATCATTACTTGATTTATCAGAGTCAGAATCTGAAAATACTTTATTGATCCAGAGGGAAATTT